CAGGCCCCAATGTGTAGCATTTAGGCTAATAGAATTTTTTTTTTATGTCATCCAATTTAACCCGAAGATTTTAAACATTTCCCTAATTTAAGGAAAAACAGCCGTAACGGCCAAGGAAACTTAAATCAAAGCGAGAAACTCTAGTAGGAAGAAGTTATCCCAAAGTTTTTACACAGAAGACAAAAAGTTTCCTTAAGATTCTAATAGAACTGAAAAATAAACATTTTCAACATTCTAAAAGAAATTGGTACTGAAATTACTTTGCCGAAACCCGGGATTGAAACAGGGACCTTTAGATCTGCAGTAAACGCTCTCCCAACTGAGCTATTTCGGCCACATTGAAGTTGATTTTCTCGCCTCAAAATAGTTACATGTGGAAATGTCCCAACAGAAATAATTAATAAAATGATAAAGGTTCCCTATTTTCAAAAAACACTTTGGCCCATGTGGGGATCGATCCCACGACCTTGGCGTTATTAGCACCACGCTCTAACCAGCTGAGCTAACAGGACCCAATGTGTAGCATTTAGGCTAATAGAAATTTTTTTTTTATGTCATCCAATTTAACCCGAAAAATTTAAACATTTCCCTAATTTAAGAAAAAACAGCCGTAACGGCCAAGGAAATTTAAATCAAAGCGAGAAACTCTAGTAGGAAGAAGTTATCCCAAAGGTTTCACTCAGAAGACAAAAAGTTTCCTTAAGATTCTAATAGAACTGAAAAATAAACATTTTCAACATTCTAAAAGAAATTGGTACTGAAATTACTTTGCTTAAACCCAGGATTGAACCAGGGACCTTTAGATCTTCAGTCTAACACTCTCCCAACTGAGCTATTTCAGCCATATTGAAGTTGATTTTCTTGCCTCAAAATAGTTACATGTGGAAATGTCCAAACAGAAATAATTAACAAAACGATAAAGGTTCCCTATTTTCAAAAAACACTTTGGCCTATGTGGGGATCGAACCCACGACTTCAGCGTCATTAGCACCACGCTCTAACCAGCTGAGCTAACAGGCCCCAATGTGTAGCATTTAGGCTAATAGAAATTTTTTTTATGTCATCCAATTTAACCCGAAGATTTTAAACATTTCCCTAATTTAAGGAAAAACAGCCGTAACGGCCAAGGAAATTTAAATCAAAGCGAGAAACTCTAGTAGGAAGAAGTTATCCCAAAGGTTTCACTCAGAAGACAAAAAATTTTCTTAAGATTCTAATAGAACTGAAAAATAAACATTTTCAACATTCTAAAAGAAATTGGTACTGAAATTACTTTGCCGAAACCCAGGATTGAACCAGGGACCTTTAGATCTTCAGTCTAACACTCTCCCAACTGAGCTATTTCCGCCATATTTAAGTTTATTTTCTTGCCTGAAAATAGTTACATGTGGAAATGTCCCAACAGAGTAATTAACAAAACGATAAAGGTTCCCTATTTTCAAAAAACACTTTGGCCCATGTGGGGATCGAACCCACGACCTTGGCGTTATTAGCACCACGCTCTGGCCAGCTGAGCTAACAGGCCCCAAAGTCTAGCATTTAGGCTAATAGATTTTTTTTTTATGTCATCCAATTTAACCCGAAGATTTTAAACATTTCCCTAATTTAAGGAAAAACAGCCGTAACGGCCAAGGAAATTTAAATCAAAGCGAGAAACTCTAGTAGGAAGAAGTTATCCCAAAGGTTTCACTCAGAAGACAAAAAGTTTCCTTAAGATTCTAATAGAACTGAAAAATAAACATTTTCAACATTCTAAAAGAAATTGGTACTGAAATTACTTTGCCGAAACCCGGGATTGAACCAGGGACCTTTAGATCTTCAGTCTAACGCTCTCCCAACTGAGCTATTTCGGCGATATTAAAGTTGATTTTCTTGCTTGAAAATAGTTACTTGTGGAAATGTCCCAACAGAAATAATTAACAAAATGATAAAGGTTCCCTATTTTCAAAAAACACTGTGGCCCATGTGGGGATCGATCCCACGACCTTGGCGTTATTAGCACCACGCTCTAACCAGCTGAGCTAACAGGACCCAATGTGTAGCATTTAGGCTAATAGAAATTTTTTTTTTATGTCATCCAATTTAACCCGAAGATTTTAAACATTTCCTAATTTAAGGAAAAACAGCCGTAACGGCCAAGGAAATTTAAATCAAAGCGAGAAACTCTAGTAGGGAAGAAGTTATCCCAAAGGTTTCACTCAGAAGACAAAAAGTTACCTTAAGATTCGAATAGAACTGAAAAATAAACATTTTCAACATTCTAAAAGAAATTGGTACTGAAATTACTTTGCCGAAACCCAGGATTGAACCAGGGACCTTTAGATCTTCAGTCTAACGCTCTCCCAACTGAGCTATTTCTGCCACATTGCAGTTGATTTTCTTCCCTCAAAATAGTTACATGTGGAAATGTCCCAACAGAAATAATTAACAAAATGATAAAGGTTCCCTATTTTCATAAAACTCTTTGGCCCATGTGGGGATCGAACCCACGACCTTGGCGTTATTAGCACCACGCTCTAACCAGCTGAGCTAACAGGCCCCAATGTGTAACATTTAGGCTAATAGAAATTTTTTTTATGTCATCCAATTTAACCCGAAGAATTTAAACATTTCCCTAATTTAAGGAAAAACAGCCGTAACGGCCAAGGAAATTTAAATCAAAGCGAGAAACTCTAGTAGGAAGAAGTTATCCCTTAAGGTTTCACTCAGAAGACAAAAAGTTTCCTTAAGATTCTAATAGAACTGAAAAATAAACATTTTCAACATTCTAAAAGAATTTGGTACTGAAATTACTTTGCTGAAACCCAGGATTGAACCAGGGACCTTAAGATCTTCAGTCTAATGCTCTCCCAACTGAGCTATTTCGGACATATTTAAGTTGATTTTCTTGCTTGAAAATAGTTACATGTGGAAATGTCCCAACAGAAATAATTAACAAAACGATAAAGGTTCCCTATTTTCAAAAAACACTTTGGCCTATGTGGGGATCGAACCCAGGACTTCAGCGTCATTAGCACCACGCTCTGACCAGCTGAGCTAACCGGCCCCAACAGATAGCATTTAGGCTAATAAAATTTTTTTTTATGTCATCCAATTTAACCCGAAGAATTTAAACATTTCCCTAATTTAAGGAAAAACAGCCGTAACGGCCAAGGAAATTTAAATCAAAGCGAGAAACTCTAGTAGGAAGAAGTTATCCCAAAGGTTTCACTCAGAAGACAAAAAGTTTCCTTAAGATTCTAATAGAACTGAAAAATAAACATTTTCAACATTCTAAAAGAAATTGGTACTGAAATTACTTTGCCGAAACCCGGGATTGAACCAGGGACCTTTAGATCTTAAGTCAAATGCTCTCCCAACTGAGCTATTTCGGCCATATTGAATTGATTTTCTTGCCTCAAAATAGTTACATGTGGAAATGTCCCAACAGAAATAATTAACAAAACGATAAAGGTTCCCTATTTTCAAAAAATACTTTGGCCCATGTGGGGATCGAACCCACGACCTTGGCGTTATTAGCACCACGCTCTAACCAGCTGAGCTAACAGGCCCCAATGTGTAGCATTTAGGCTAATAGAATTTTTTTTTATGTCATCCAATTTAACCCGAAGAATTTAAACATTTCCCTAATTTAAGGAAAAACAGCCGTAACGGCCAAGGAAATTTAAATCAAAGCGAGAAACTCTAGTAGGAAGAAGTTATCCCAAAGGTTTCACTCAGAAGACAAAAAGTTTCCTTAAGATTCTAATAGAACTGAAAAATAAACATTTTCAACATTCTAAAAGAAATTGGTACTGAAATTACTTTGCCGAAACCCGGGATTGAACCAGGGACCTTTAGATCTTCAGTCTAACGCTCTCCCAACTGAGCTATTTCGGCCACATTGAAGTTGATTTTCTTGCCTCAAAATAGTTACATGTGGAAATGTCCCAACAGAAATAATTAACAAAACGATAAAGGTTCCCTATTTTCAAAAAACACTTTGGCCCATGTGGGGATCGAACCCACGACTTGGCGTTATTAGCACCACGCTCTAACCAGCTGAGCTAACAGGTCCCAATGTGTTGCATTTAGACTAATAGAAAAAAATATTTTTTTGTGTCATCCAATTTAACCCGAAGAATTTTAACATTTCCCTAATTTAAGGAAAAACAGCCGTAACGGCCAAGGAAATTTAAATCAAAGCGAGAAACTCTAGTAGGAAGAAGTTATCCCAAAGGTTTCACTCAGAAGACAAAAAGTTTCCTTAAGATTCTAATAGAACTGAAAAATAAACATTTTCAACATTCTAAAAGAAATTGGTACTGAAATTACTTTGCCGAAACCCAGGATTGAACCACGGACCTTTAGATCTTCAGTCTAACGCTCTCCCAACTGAGCTATTTTGGGCACATTGAAGTTGATTTTCTTGCCTCAAAATAGTTACATGTGGAAATGTCCCAACAGAAATAATTAACAAAACGATAAAGGTTCCCTATTTTCAAAAAACACTTTGGCCCATGTGGGGATCAAACCCACGACCTTGGCGTTATTAGCACCACGCTCTAACCAGCTGAGCTAACAGGCCCCAATGTGTAGCATTTAGGCTAATAGAAATTTTTTTTTATGTCATCCAATTTAACCCGAAGATTTTAAACATTTCCCTAATTTAAGGAAAAACAGCCGTAACGGCCAAGGAAATTTAAATCAAAGCGAGAAACTCTAGTAGGAAGAAGTTATCCCAAAGGTTTCACTCAGAAGACAAAAAGTTTCCTTAAGATTCTAATAGATCTGAAAAATAAACATTTTCAACATTCTAAAAGAAATTGGTACTGAAATTACTTTGCCGAAACCCGGGATTGAACCACTGACCTTTAGATCTTCAGTCTAACGCTCTCCCAACTGAGCTATTTCGGCCACATTGAAGTTGATTTTCTTGCCTCAAAATAGTTACATGTGGAAATGTCCCAACAGAAATAATTAACAAAACGATAAAGGTTCCCTATTTTCAAAAAACACTTTGGCCCATGTGGGGATCGAACCCACAACCTTCGGCGTCATTAGCACCACGCTCTAACCAGCTGAGCTAACAGGCCCCAATGTGTAGCATTTAGGCTAATAGAAATTTTTTTTTGTCATCCAATTTAACCCGAAGAATTTAAACATTTCCCTAATTTAAGGAAAAACAGCCGTAACGGCCAAGGAAATTTAAATCAAAGCGAGAAACTCTAGTAGGAAGAAGTTATCCCAAAGGTTTCACTCAGAAGACAAAAAATTTTCCTTAAGATTCTAATAGAACTGAAAAATAAACATTTTCAACATTCTAAAAGAAATTGGTACTGAAATTACTTTGCCGAAACCCGGGATTGAACCAGGGACCTTTAGATCTTCAGTCTAACGCTCTCCCAACTGAGCTATTTCGGCCATATTTAAGTTGATTTTCTTGCCTGAAAATAGTTACATGTGGAAATGTCCCAACAGAAATAATTAACAAAATGATAAAGGTTCCCTATTTTCAAAAAACACTTTGGCCCATGTGGGGATCGAACCCACGACCTTGGAGTAATTAGCACCACACTCTAACCAGCTGAGCTAACAGGCCCCAATGTGTAGCATTTAGGCTAATAGAATTTTTTTTTTTATGTCATCCAATTTAACCCGAAGATTTTAAACATTTCCCTAATTTAAGGAAAAACAGCCGTAACGGCCAAGGAAATTTAAATCAAAGCGAGAAACTCTAGTAGGAAGAAGTTATCCCAAAGGTTTCACTCAGAAGACAAAAAGTTTCCTTAAGATTCTAATAGAACTGAAAAATAAACATTTTCAACATTCTAAAAGAAATTGGTACTGAAATTACTTTGCCGAAACCCAGGATTGAACCAGGGACCTTTAGATCTGCAGTCAAACGCTCTCCCAACTGAGCTATTTCGGCCACATTGAAGTTGATTTTCTTGCCTCAAAATAGTTACATGTGGAAATGTCCAAACAGAAATAATTAACAAAACGATAAAGGTTCCCTATTTTAAAAAAACACTTTGGCCCATGTGGGGATCGAACCCACGACTTCAGCGTCATTAGCACCACGCTCTAACCAGCTGAGCTAACAGGCCCCAATGTGTAGCATTTAGGCTAATAGAAATTTTTTTTTATATCATCCAATTTAACCAGAAGAATATAAACATTTCCCTAATTTAAGGAAAAACAGCCGTAACGGCCAAGGAAATTTAAATCAAAGCCAGAAACTCTAGTAGGAAGAAGTTATCCCAAAGGTTTCACTCAGAAGACAAAAAGTTTCCTTAAGATTCTAATAGAACTGAAAAATAAACATTTTCAACATTCTAAAAGAAATTGGTACTGAAATTACTTTGCCGAAACCCGGGATTGAACCAGGGACCTTTAGATCTTCTGTCTAACGCTCTCCCAACTGAGCTATTTCGGCAATATTTAAGTTGATTTTCTTGCTTGAAAATAGTTACATGTGGAAATGTCCCAACAGAAATAATTAACAAAATGATAAAGGTTCCCTATTTTCAAAAAACACTTTGGCCCATGGGGGGATCGAACCCACAACCTTGGCGTTATTAGCACCACGCTCTAACCAGCTGAGCTAACAGGCCCCAATGTGTAGCATTTAGGCTAATAGAAATTTTTTTATGTCATCCAATTTAACCCGAAGATTTTAAACATTTCCCTAATTTAAGGAAAAACAGCCGTAACGGCCAAGGAAATTTAAATCAAAGCGAGAAACTCTAGTAGGAAGAAGTTATCCCAAAGGTTTCACTCAGAAGACAAAAAGTTTCCTTAAGATTCTAATAGAACTGAAAAATAAACATTTTCAACATTCTAAAAGAAATTGGTACTGAAATTACTTTGCCGAAACCCAGGATTGAACCATGGACCTTTAGATCTTCAGTCTAACGCTCTCCCAACTGAGCTATTTCGGCGATATTAAAGTTGATTTTCTTGCTTGAAAATAGTTACTTGTGGAAATGCCCCAACAGAAATAATTAACAAAATGATAAAGGTTCCCTATTTTCAAAAAACACTGTGGCCCATGTGGGGATCGATCCCACGACCTTGGCGTTATTAGCACCACGCTCTAACCAGCTGAGCTAACAGGCCCCAATGTGTAGCATTTAGGCTAATAGAAATTTTTTTTTTATGTCATCCAATTTAACCCAAAAAATTTAAACATTTCCCTAATTTAAGGAAAAACAGCCGTAACGGCCAAGGAAATTTAAATCAAAGCGAGAAACTCTAGTAGGAAGAAGTTATCCCAAAGGTTTCACTCAGAAGACAAAAAGTTTCCTTAAGATTCTAATAGAACTGAAAAATAAACATTTTCAACATTCCAAAAGAAATTTGTACTGAAATTACTTTGCCGAAACCCGGAATTGAACCACGGACCTTTAGATCTTCAGTCTATCACTCTCCCAACTGAGCTATTTCAGCCATATTGAAGTTGATTTTCTTGCCTCAAAATAGTTACATGTGGAAATGTCCAAACAGAAATAATTAACAAAACGATAAAGGTTCCCTATTTTCAAAAAACACTTTGGCCCATGTGGGGATCGAACCCACGACTTCAGCGTCATTAGCATCACACTCTAACCAGCTGAGCTAACAGGCCCCAAAGCCTAGTATTTAGGCTAATGAAAAAAAAAATATTTTTTTTGTCATCCAATTTAACCCGAAGAATTTAAACATTTCCCTAATTTAAGGAAAAACAGCCGTAACGGCCAAGGAAACTTAAATCAAAGCGAGAAACTCTAGTAGGAAGAAGTTATCCCAAAGTTTTCACTCAGAAGACAAAAAGTTTCCTTAAGATTCTAATAGAACTGAAAAATAAACATTTTCAACATTCTAAAAGAATTTGGTACTGAAATTACTTTGCTGAAACCCAGGATTGAACCAGGGACCTTTAGATCTTCAGTCTAACGCTCTCCCAACTGAGCTATTTCGGACATATTGAAGTTGATTTTCTTGCTTCAAAATAGTTACATGTGGAAATGTCCCAACAGAAATAATTAACAAAATGATAAAGGTTCCCTATTTTCAAAAAACACTTTGGCCCATGTGGGGATCGATCCCACGACCTTGGCGTTATTAGCACCACGCTCTAACCAGCTGAGGTAACAGGCCCCAATGTGTAGCATTTAGGCTAATAGAAATTTTTTTTATGTCATCCAATTTAACCCGAAAAATTTAAACATTTCCCTAATTTAAGGAAAAACAGCCGTAACGGCTAAGGAAACTTAAATCAAAGCGAGAAACTCTAGTAGGAAGAAGTTATCCCAAAGTTTTCATACAGAAGACAAAAAGTTTCCTTAAGATTCTAATAGAACTGAAAAATAAACATTTTCAACATTCTAAAAGAAATTGGTACTGAAATTACTTAACCGAAACCCAGGATTGAACCAGGGACCTTTAGATCTGCAGTCAAACACTCTCCCAACTGAGCAATTTCGGCCACATTGAAGTTGATTTTCTCGCCTCAAAATAGTTACATGTGGAAATGGATCGAACCCACGACTTCAGCGTCATTAGCATCACACTTTAACCAGCTGAGCTAACAGGCCCCAAAGCCTAGCATTTAGGCTAATAAAATTTTTTTTACATCATCCAATTTAACCAGAAGAATTTAAACATTTCCCTAATTTAAGGAAAAACAGCCGTAACGGCCAAGGAAACTTAAATCAAAGCGAGAAACTCTAGTAGGAAGAAGTTATCCCAAAGTTTTCACTCAGAAGACAAAAATTTTCCTTAAGATTCTAATAGAACTGAAAAATAAACATTAGTACTGAAATTACTTTGCCGAAACCCGGGATTTAACCAGGGACCTCTAGATCTTCAGTCTAACGCTCTCCCAACTGAGCTATTTCGGCCATATTGAAGTTGATTTTCTTGCCTCAAAATAGTTACATGTGGAAATGTCCAAACAGAAATAATTAATTAACAAAACGATAAAGGTTCCCTATTTTCAAAAAACACTTTGGCCCATGTGGGGATCGAACCCACAACCTTGGCGTTATTAGCACCACGCTCTAACCAGCTGAGCTAACAGGCCCCAATGTCTAGCATTTAGGCTAATAGATTTTTTTTTTATGTCATCCAATTTAACCCGAAGATTTTAAACATTTCCCTAATTTAAGGAAAAACAGCCGTAACGGCCAAGGAAATTTAAATCAAAGCGAGAAACTCTAGTAGGAAGAAGTTATCCCAAAGGTTTCACTCAGAAGACAAAAAGTTTCCTTAAGATTCTAATAGAACTGAAAAATAAACATTTTCAACATTCTAAAAGAAATTGGTACTGAAATTACTTTGCCAAAACCCAGGATTGAACCAGGGACCTTTAGTTCTTCAGTCTAAGGCTCTCCCAACTGAGCTATTTCGGCCATGTTTAAGTTGATTTTCTTGCCTGAAAATAGTTACATGTGGAAATGTCCCAACAGAAATAATTAACAAAACGATAAAGGTTCCCTATTTTCAAAAAAACACTTTGGCCCATGTGGGGATCGAACCCACGACCTCTGCGTCATTAGCATCACACTCTAACCAGCTGAGCTAACAGGCCCCAAAGTGTAGCATTTAGGCTAATAGAAAGAAATATTTTTTTTGTTATCCAACTTTACCCGAAGAATTTAAACATTTCCCTAATTTAAGGAAAAACAGCCGTAACAACCAAGGAAATTTAAATCAAAGCGAGAAACTCTATTAGGAAGAAGTTATCCCAAAGGTTTCACTCAGAAGACAAAAAGTTTCCTTAAGATTCTAATAGAACTGAAAAAAAACATTTTCAACATTCTAAAAGAAATTGGTACTGAAATTACTTTGCCGAAACCCAGGATTGAACCAGGGACCTTAAGATTTTCAGTCTAACGCTCTCCCAACTGAGCTATTTCTGCCATATTGAAGTTGATTTTCTTGCTTGAAAATAGTTACATGTGGAAATGTCCCAACAGAAATAATTAACAAAACGATAAAAGTTCCCTATTTTGAAAAAACACTTTTGTCCGTGTGGGGATCGAACCCACGACCTTGGCGTTATTAGCACCACACTCTAACCAGCTGAGCTAAGAGGCCCCAATGTGTAGCATTTAGGCTAATAGAAATTTTTTTTTTGTCATCCAATTTAACCCGAAGAATTTAAACATTTCCCTAAATTAAGGAAAAACAGCCGTGACGGCCAAGGAAATTTAAATCAAAGCGAGAAACTCTAGTAGGAAGAAGTTATCCCAAAGGTTTCACTCAGAAGACAAAAAGTTTCCTTAAGATTCTAATAGAACTGAAAAATAAACATTTTCAACATTCTAAAAGAAATTTGTACTGAAATTACTTTGCCGAAACCCAGGATTGAACCAGGGACCTTTAGATCTTCAGTCTAATGCTCTCCCAACTGAGCTATTTCGGCCATATTGAAGTTGATTTTCTTGCTTGAAAATAGTTACATGTGGAAATGTCCCAACAGAAATAATTAACAAAACGATAAAGGTTCCCTATTTTCAAAAAACACTTTGGCCCATGTGGGGATCGAACCCACGACCTTGGCATTATTAGCACCATGCTCTAACCGGCTGAGCTAACAGGCCCCAATGTGTAGCATTAAGGCTAATAGAATTTTTTTTTATATCATCCAATTTAACCCGAAGAATTTAAACATTTCCCTAATTTAAGGAAAAACAGCCGTAACGGCCAAGGAAACTTAAATCAAAGCGAGAAACTCTAGTAGGAAGAAGTTATCCCAAAGGTTTCACTCAGAAGACAAAAAGTTTCCTTAAGATTCTAATAGAACTGAAAAATAAACATTTTCAACATTCTAAAAGAAATTGGTACTGAAATTACTTTGCCGAAACCCGGGATTGAACCAGGGACCTTTAGATCTTCAGTCTAACGCTCTCCCAACTGAGCTATTTCAGCCATATTTAAGATGATTTTCTTGCCTCAAAATAGTTACATGTAGAAATGTCCCAACAGAAATAATTAACAAAAAAAATAAAGGTTCCCTATTTTCAAAAAACACTTTAGCCCAGGTGGGGTTCGAACCCACGACCTTGGCGTTATTAGCACCACGCTCTAACCAGCTGAGCTAACAGGCCCCAATGTGTAGCAATTAGGCTAATAGAATTTTTTTTTATGTCATCCAATTTAACCCGAAGATTTTAAACATTTCCCTAATTTAAGGAAAAACAGCCGTAACGGCCAAGGAAATTTAAATCAAAGTGAGAAACTCTAGTAGGAAGAAGTTATCCCTTAAGGATTCACTCAGAAGACAAAAAGTTTCCTTAAGATTCTAATAGAACTGAAAAATAAACATTTTCAACATTCCAAAAGAAATTTGTACTGAAATTACTTTGCCGAAACCCGGGATTGAACCAGGGACCTTTAGATCTTCAGTCTAACGCTCTCCCAACTGAGCTATTTTGGCCATATTGAAGTTGATATTCTTGCCTCAAAATAGTTACATGTGGAAATGTCCAAACAGAAATAATTAACAAAACGATAAAGGTTCCCTATTTTCAAAAAATACTTTGGCCCATGTGGGGATCGAGCCCACGACCTTGGCGTAATTAGAACCACGCTCTAACCAGCTGAGCTAACAGGCCCCAATGTATAGCATTTAGGCTAATAGAAATTTTTTTTTGTCATCCAATTTAAGCCGAAGATTTTAAACATTTCCCTAATTTAAGGAAAAACAGCCGTAACGGCCAAGGAAATTTAAATCAAAGCGAGAAACTCTAGTAGGAAGAAGTTATCCCAAAAGTTTCACTCAAAAGACAAAAAGTTTCCTTAAGATTCTAATAGAACTGAAAAATAAACATTTTCAACATTCTAAAAGAAATTGGTACTGAAATTACTTTGCCAAAACCCAGGATTGAAACAGGGACCTTTAGATCTTCAGTCTAACGCTCTCCCAACTGAGCTATTTCGGCCATATTTAAGTTGATTTTCTTGCTTGAAAATAGTTACATGTGGAAATGTCCCAACAGAAATAATTAACAAAACGATAAAGGTTCCCTATTTTCAAAAAATACTTTGGCCCATGTGGGGATCGAACCCACGACCTTGGCGTTATTAGCACCACGCTCTAACCAGCTGAGCTAACAGGCCCCAATGTGCAGCATTTAGGCTAATAGAAATTTTTTTTTGTCATCCAATTTAACCCGAAGATTTTAAACATTTCCCTAATTTATGGAAAAACAGCCGTAACGGCCAAGGAAATTTAAATCAAAGCGAGAAACTCTAGTAGGAAGAAGTTAGCCCAAAGGTTTCACTCAGAAGACAAAAAGTTTCCTTAAGATTCTAATAGAACTGAAAAATAAACATTTTCAACATTCTAAAGGAAATTGGTACTGAAATTACTTTGCCGAAACCCGGGATTGAACCAGGGACCTTTAGATCTGCAGTCAAACACTCTCCCAACTGAGCTATTTCAGCCACATTGAAGTTGATTTTCTTGCTTGAAAATAGTTACATGTGGAAATGTCCCAACAGAAATAATTAACAAAATGATAAAGGTTCCCTATTTTCAAAAAACACTTTGGCCCATGTGGGGATCGAACCCACAACCTTGGCGTTATTAGCACCACGCTCTAACCAGCTGAGCTAACAGGCCCCAATGTGTAACATTTAGGCTAATAGAAATTTTTTTTATGTCATCCAATTTAACCCGAAAAATTTAAACATTTCCCTAATTTAAGGAAAAACAGCCGTAACGGCCAAGGAAACTTAAATCAAAGCGAGAAACTCTAGTAGGAAGAAGTTATCCCAAAGTTTTCACTCAGAAGACAAAAAGTTTCCTTAAGATTCTAATAGAACTGAAAAATAAACATTTTCAACATTCTAAAAGAAATTGGTACTGAAATTACTTTGCCGAAACCCGGGATTGAACCAGGGACCTTTAGATCTTCAGTCTAATGCTCTCTCAACTGAGCTATTTCAGCCAATATTTAAGTTGATTTTCTTGCCTGAAAATAGTTACATGTGGAAATGTCCCAACAGAAATAATTAACAAAACGATAAAGGTTCCCTATTTTCAAAACACACTTTGGCCCATGTGGGGATCGAACCCACGACTTCAGCGTCATTAGCATCACACTTTAACCAGCTGAGCTAACAGGCCCCAAAGCCTAGCATTTAGGCTAATAGAATTTTTTTTACATCATCCAATTTAACCAGAAGAATTTAAACATTTCCCTAATTTAAGGAAAAACAGCCGTAACGGCCAAGGAAACTTAAAGCAAAGCGAGAAACTCTAGTAGGAAGAAGTTATCCCAAAGGTTTCACTCAGAAGACAAAAAGTTTCCTTAAGATTCTAATAGAACTGAAAAATAAACATTTTCAACATTCTAAAAGAAATTGGTACTGAAATTACTTTGCCGAAACCCGGGATTGAACCAGGGACCTTTAGATCTGCAGTCAAACACTCTCCCAACTGAGCTATTTCGGCCACATTGAAGTTGATTTTCTCGCCTCAAAATAGTTACATGTGGAAATGTCCAAACAGAAATAATTAACAAAACGATAAAGGTTCCCTATTTTCAAAAAACACTTTAGCCCATGTGGGGATCGAAACCACGACCTTGGCGTTATTAGCACCACGCTCTAACCAGCTGAGCTAACAGGCCCCAATGTGTAGCATTTAGGCTAATAGAAATTTTTTTTTTATGTCATCCAATTTAACCCGAAGATTTTAAACATTTCCTAATTTAAGGAAAAACAGCCGTAACGGCCAAGGAAATTTAAATCAAAGCGAGAAACTCTAGTAGGAAGAAGTTATCCCAAAGTTTTCACTCAGAAGACAAAAAATTTCCTTAAGATTCTAATAGAACTGAAAAATAAACATTTTCAACATTCTAAAAGAAATTGGTACTGAAATTACTTTGCCGAAACCCGGGATTGAACAATGGACCTTTAGATCTTCAGTCTAACGCTCTCCCAACTGAGCTATTTCGGCCATATTTAAGTTGATTTTCTTGTTTGAAAATAGTTACATGTGGAAATGTCCCAACAGAAATAATTAACAAAATGATAAAGGTTCCCTATTTTTAAAAAACACTTTGGCCCATGTGGGGATCGATCCCACAACCTTGGCGTTATTAGCACCACGCTCTAACCAGCTGAGCTAACAGGCCCCAATGTGTAGCATTCAGGCTAATAGAATTTTTTTTTTATGTCATCCAATTTAACCCGAAAAATTTAAACATTTCCCTAATTTAAGGAAAAACAGCCGTTACGGCCAAGGAAATTTAAATCAAAGCGAGAAACTCTAGTAGGAAGAAGTTATCCCAAAAGTTTCACTCAAAAGACAAAAAGTTTCCTTAAGATTCTAATAGAACTGAAAAATAAACATTTTCAACATTCTAAAAGAAATTGGTACTGAAATTACTTTGCCGAAACCCGGGATTAAACCAGGGACCTTTAGATCTGCAGTCAAACACTCTCCCAACTGAGCTATTTCGGCCACATTGAAGTTGATTTTCTCGCCTCAAAATAGTTACATGTGGAAATGTCCCAACAGAAATAATTAACAAAACGATAAAGGTTCCCTATTTTCAAAAAACACTTTGGCCCATGTGGGGATCGAACCCACGACCTTGGCATTACTAGCACCACGCTCTAACCAGCTGAGCTAACAGGCCCCAATGTGTAGCATTTAGGCTAATAGAAATTTTTTTTGTCATCCAATTTAACCCGAAGATTTTAAACATTTCCCTAATTTAAGGAAAAACAGCCGTAACGGCCAAGGAAATTTAAATCAAAGCGAGAAACTCTAGTAGGAAGAAGTTAGCCCAAAGGTTTCACTCAGAAGACAAAAAGTTTCCTTAAGATTCTAATAGAACTGGAAAATAAACATTTTCAACATTCTAAAAGAAATTTGTACTGAAATTACTTTGCCGAAACCCGGGATTGAACCAGGGAGCTTTAGTTCTTCAGTCTAACGCTCTCCCAACTGAGCTATTTCAGCCATATTTAAGTTGATTTTCTTGCTTGAAAATAGTTACATGTGGAAATGTCCCAACAGAAATAATTAACAAAATGATAAAGGTTCCCTATTTTCGAAAAACACTTTGGCCCATGTGGGGATCGAACCCACGACCTTGGCGTTATTTGTACCACGCTCTAACCAGCTGAGCTAACAGGCCCCAATGTGTAGCATTTAGGCTAATAGAAATTTTTTTTATGTCATCCAATTTAACCCGAAAAATTTAAACATTTCCCTAATTTAAGGAAAAACAGCCGTAACGGCCAAGGAAATTTAAATCAAAGCGAGAAACTCTAGTAGGAAGAAGTTATCCGAAAGGTTTCACTCAGAGGACAAAAAGTTTCCTTAAGATTCTAATAGAACTGAAAAATAAACATTTTCAACATTCTAAAAGAAATTGGTACTGAAATTACTTTGCCGAAACCCAGGATTGAACCAGAGACCTTTAGATCTTCAGTCTAACGCTCTCCCAACTGAGCTATTTCGGCCATATTTAAGTTGATTTTCTTGCTTGAAAATAGTTACATGTGGAAATGTCCCAACAGAAATAATTAACAAAACGATAAAGGTTCCCTATTTTCAAAAAACACTTTGGCCCATGTGGGGATCGAACCCACAACCTTGGCGTTATTAGCACCATGCTCTAACAAGCTGAGCTAACAGGCACCAATGTGTAGCATTTAGGCTAATAGAATTTTTTTTTATATCATCCAATTTAATCCGAAGAATTTAAACATTTCCCTAATTTAAGGAAAAACAGCCGTAACGGCCAAGGAAACCTAAATCAAAGCGAGAAACTCTAGTAGTAAGAAGTTATCCCAAAGATTTCACTCAGAAGACAAAAAGTTTCCTTAAGATTCTAATAGATCTGAAAAATAAACATTTTCAACATTCTAAAAGAAATTGGTACTGAAATTACTTTGCCAAAACCCAGGATTGAACCATGGACCATTAGATCTTCAGTCTAACGCTCTCCCAACTGAGCTATTTCAGCCATATTTAAGATGATTTTCTTGCCTCAAAATAGTTACATGTAGAAATGTCCCAACAGAAATAATTAACAAAAAAAATAAAGGTTCCCTATTTTCAAAAAAAACTTTGGCCCATGTGGGGATCGAACCCACGACCTTGGCGTTATTAGCACCATGCTCTAACCAGCTGAGCTAACAGGTCCCAATGTGTAGCATTTAGGCTAATAGAATTTTTTTTTATATCATCCAATTTAACCCGAAGAATTTAAACATTTCCCTAATTTAAGGAAAAACAGCCGTAACGGCCAAGGAAATTTAAATCAAAGCGAGAAACTCTAGTAGGAAGAAGTTATCCCAAAGGTTTCACTCAGAAGACAAAAAGTTTCCTTAAGATTCTAATAGAACTGAAAAATAAACATTTTCAACATTCTAAAAGAAATTGGTACTGAAATTACTTTGCCGAAACCCGAGATTGAACCAGAGACCTTTAGATCATCAGTTAAACGCTCTCCCAACTGATCTATTTCGGCCATATTGAAGTTGATTTTCTTGCCTCAAAATAGTGACATGTGGAAATGTCCAAACAGAAATAATTAACAAAACGATAAAGGTTCCCTATTTTCAAAAAACACTTTGGCCCATGTGGGGA